AGTGAGCCGAGATCTCGCCGTTGCACTCCAGCCTGGGCGACAGAGCAAGACTCTGTCTCAAAAAACAAAAAACGAACAAAAAAAAGAATATGACACTGGCATTTACTTTTGAGCTTTTTGGACACGTTTTTTAAAAAAGACAAAAACACTAATGATTTATCTCTCAATTACAACACCCAATAGTGACTCATAATCTGTAGGAAAGTGGCTTTCTTGGTAGGTCAGGAACAACTCTGTCTCTCCGACCTAAGTATTGCTTGTTTGGTTATAAGGGCTCTCTAGTTGGCACTTTCCCCACTTTGTGCAGTCTTTTACTTTCTCTAATGAGGCGCCCAGCCCCATGGAAATGAAGGCTTTACTGGCATGAGAAATAATGTCGTTTGATATTAAAGAAAATCGTAAGTTCAGATTCTAGTTATTTGCTCAACTTAAACATGGTTTTTCTATGAGCCGTTGAAAGCTTATGAATGAAAAAAAATTCCTCTGTTCTGTAGCTTTAAAGTGCCTGAATAACATTTCTTATATTTAAGTTTTATGAGACCTCAACCTTTGAAGTGCAGCCTTTAAATTTATTTTTCAGTGAAAGAAACAATCCCCTTGGGTGGGGCCCCTTTAGAGATAATTTCCCTTGATTTATTGTCCCCTTTAAATCAACTGCAGTGAGGATGGATGCAGGTGTTAAATCTGAAGCCGGAAGTCAGTACTATTGAAGAAAAAGGAACAAGTGATATATGAGTTGTTGGGGCTATGTTTTATTTGGCTAAAATTTATGCTGAACAGGTTACAATGTGGTTGCTTGGATTAATGATATCATAAGTAGCGCCTTTGTGTGTGTGTGTGGGAGGGCACAGGATGATCCAGTCAGATGTGGTAAGAAAATATTAGAACTTATATTTGTTTACCTTTTCAAACTTTCATTAAAAATTTCTATTTTTTGTGAATTTTATGCTAGAGTAGCATATTAGAATAGTAATGCATGTATAGAAATAAATATGTTGAGGATGAATGCACAAATACATTTTACATATGTAGGATGTGTGATTAAAAACGTTTACAGCCAGTGGCCTAGAATATGCTACATATATAGGTGATAAACATTTTAAGAATTTTATTTCCATGAGCTTTTTATTTTACTTTTATTTTACTTAAATATTTTATACGTATTGTATAATTCAGCAACTAATACTGTGGTCAGTTTGCTCTGTAATGAACTCTGATCTCTTTCCTTTCAAGAGTCTAGCTTTTTATAGATATAAAATAGAGAATAATACCAAACATTGTTATTAGTAAAGTTATGTTGAGCAGTTCCCTCCTTTTTTTTTTTTGAGACAGAGTCTCGCTGTGTCGCTCAGGCTGGAGTGCAGTGGCATGATCTCGACTCACTACACGTTCCGCCTGCTGGGGTTCATGCCAATCTCCTGCCTCAGCCTCCCAAGTAGCTGGGACTACAGGCGCCCACCACCACGCCTGGCTAATTTTTTGTATTTTTAGTAGAGACAGGGTTTCACCGTGTTAGCCAGAATGGTCTCAATCTCCTGATCTGGCGATCTGCCGGCCTCGCCTCCCAAAGTGCTGGGATTACAGGCGTGAGCTACCGCGCCTGGCCTTTTTTTTTTTTTTTTTTGGAGCGATCTTGGCTCACTGCAACCTCTGCCTCCTGAGTTCAAGCGGTTCTCCTGCCTCAGCCTCCCAAGTAGCTGGGATTACAGGCTCCTGCCACCATGCCCAGCTGATTTTTGTATTTTCAGTAGAGACGGGGTTTCACTATATTGGCCAGGCTGGTCTTGAACTCCTGACCTCAAGTGATCGACTCTCCTTGGCCTCCTAAAGTGCTAGGATTATAGGCCTGAGCTACCCTGCCTGGCCATATTGAGCAGTTACTAATGATAACTATTTGTAGGTGCACATAGTATTGCTGAATCCATTAAATATTTTAAAGAAGGAATTTTGGCAGATTAATCATCATTCTCAAGGCCTCAGCCCCTTCTTTTCTACCTTGAGCTCCACCAGTAGTGAGATTTGTCTCACTATCTTTACCAGTGACATAATTACCAAATCTGATGCCTGATATGGTACTTAGATTATTATAGGCACTTTTATTTTCTGGATGAATCAATAAATGAATAAACCGAGTGGCCTGTTATCAGTGGTACTACATCTTAAATATTCCTTTATCTTTTGAACTCCTTTCCTTTGCAGGACTCTTATGTTTTTCCTTATTCTTCTACTTCTCTGACTTTCTTCTTTTTGGTTTCTTTTGCTCTTACCTTTTTCCACTAAAATATAATTGTCCCCAAGGTTTCTCCTTTGGTCATCCTTCTTCTGTAGCTCTACATGATACTGAATGGTCACTCCAGATCCCTGTCCCGAGTTCTGATCCATATTTTCAGGCATCTATAGATCAGTGCCTCCTACATGTGCACCAAGTACTGTACATTTAACATGTTTAAAACCGGAGTCACTATACGCCTATTAGAATGGCTGTGACTAACAACAGCAACAACAAAACCCCTTGCATTATCAAGTGGAGACAGGATGCAAAGCAACTGGAACTCTCATGCATTGCTGATGGGAATGCAAGATGGAATACTCACTGTGGAAAGAAGTTTGGCAGTTTCTTATGAAGTGAAACATAAACTTGCTGTATTATCCATCAGTTCTACTCCTAGATATTTACTGAGTGAAATGAAAACTTATGTTTACACAAACACCTTTACATGAATGTATGTAGCAAATTTATTCATAACTTCCCAAAACTGGAAACCACCCAGATGTTCTTTAACTGGAAAACTGATAAACCGTGATATGTCCCTACAGTGGAATAATAGCAATAAGAAAGGAGAGTTGATAGATGCCAACAACGTGGATGACTGAAATACCGCGCTAAATGAAAGAAGCCAGATTTATTTTGTTGGTTTTGTTGTTGTTTATTTTACCTTTTAGGCTCAGGGTCACATGTGCAAATTTGTTATATAGGTAAACTCATGTCATGGGCGTTTTACAGATTATTTTGTCACCCAGGTACTAAACCTAGTACCCAATAGTTATTTTTTTCTGCTTCTCCCCCTCCTCCTACCCTCCAACTTCTGGTAGGCCCCCAGTGTCTGTTGTTCCCTTCTTTGTGTCCATGTGTTCTCATCATTTAGCTCCCACTTATGAGTAAGAACATGTGGTATTTGTTTTTCTGTTCCTGCATTAGTTTGCTAAGGATAATGTCCTCCAGCTCCATTCATGTTCCCACAGGAGACATGATCACATTTTTTTTTTTTTTTGGTGGCTGCATAGTATTTCATAGTATTTATGTACCACATTTTCTTTATCCAGTCTATTATTCATGGGCATTTAGGTTCATTGCATGTCTTTCCTATTGTGAAAAGTGCTGCACTGAACATTCGTGTGCATGTGTCTTTATGGTAGAATGATTTATATCCCTCTGGATATATACCCAGTAATGGGATTGCTGGGCCAAATGGTAGTTCTATTTTTAGCTCTTTGAGGAATTACCACACTGCTTTCCACAGTGATTGAACTAATTTACGTTTGTTTTTTGACTTTTTTTCTTTTTTTTTGAGGCATGGTCTCACTGTTGCCCAGGCTGGAGTGCAGTGGTGTGATCATGGTCACTGTAGCCTTGACCTTTGGGCTCAAGTGACTCTCCCACCTCAGCCTTCCGAGCAGCTGAGACTATAGTCACGTGCCACCCTGCATGGATAATGTTTTGATACTTTGTTGAGACTTGGTCTCACTGTGTGGCCCAGGCTGGTCTCGAACTCTTGAGCTCAAGTGATCCTCATGTCTCCACCTCCTGAAGTCCTGGGATTACAGGCATGAGCCACCATACCTGACTCTTTTTGACCTTTTAGTAATAGCCATTCTGACTGGTGTGAGATGGTTTTTCATTCTGGTTTTGATTTGCATTTCTCTGATGATCAGTGATGTTGATCATTTTTTCATATGCTCCTTGGCTGCATGTATGTCCTTTGAAAAGTGTCTGTTCATGTCCTTTGCTCACTTTTTAATGAGGTTGTTTGTATTTTTCTTGTAAATTTGTTTAAGTTTCTTATAGACGTTGGATATTAGACCTTTATCAGATGCATAGTTTGCAACAATTTCTCCATTTTGTAGGTTGTCTTTTACTCTGTTGATAGATTCTTTTGCTGTGCAGGAGCTCTTAAGTTTAATCAGATCCCATTTGTCAATTTTTGCTTTTGTTGCAATAGCCCCTTCGTCATGAAATCTCTGACTATTCCTGTGTCCCGAATGGTATTGCCTAGATTATCTTCCAAGGTTTTTATAGTTTTGGGTTTTACATTTCAGTCTTTAATCCATTTTGAGTTGATTTTTGGATATGGAACGGGTCCAGTTTCAATCTTCTGCATGTAGCTAGCCAGTTATCCCAGCACCGTTTATTGAATAGGGAGTCCTTTCCCAATTGCTTGTTTTTGTCAGCTTTGTCAAAGATCAGATGGTTGTAGGTGTGTGGACTTATTTATGGGCTATTTTGTTTCATTGGTCTATGTGTCTGTTTTTGTACCAGTACCCTGCTCTTTTGGTTACTGTAGCCCTGTAGTACAGATTGAAGTCAGGTAATATGATACCTCCAACTTTGTTCTTTTTGCTTAGGTTTGCCTTGGCTATTCAGCCTCTTTTTTGGTTCCATATGAATTTTAAAATAGTTTTTTCTAGTTTTGTGAAGAATGTCATTAGCAATTTGATAGGAATAGCATTGAATCTGTAAATTGCTTTGGCCAATATGGCCATTTTCACGATACTGATTCTTCTTATCCATGAGCATGGAATAATTTTCCATTCATTTGTGTCATCTCTGATTTCTTTTACCAGCGTTTTGTAATTCTCACTCTAGAGGTCTTTCACCTCCCTGGCTGGCTATATTATGAGGTGTTTTATACTTTTTCTGAGAAGCCAGATTTAAAAGACTACATGCTGTATGATTCCATTTTTCTGAAATTCAGGAAAAGGCAGGACTGTAGGGATGAAGAATTCAGTTTTTACCAGATGTTAAGGGTCAGGGAGGGCTAATAGGAGCAGCGTGAGGGAGTTTTTGGGGGTAACAACTGTTCTGTATCTTGATTGTGATAGTTACATGCTTATACATTTGTTAAATTCATAGAACTGTATACCAAAAGAGTGATTTTTACTAAATATAAATTTAAAAATAAACTTAAAATAACAGAATTCATTATTCTTGTCTCAGAAAAAAGCCGATATGTAAACAGAACAACCACTACTCTGATCCTCCATCTGTATTCTCTGTCTTATGTTATCTTGCCATACTACTCAAATGGCTCAGTTAAAAACCATGGAGTCATCCAAAACTCCTTTTTCTTCCTCTCTGTTACTTTCATATGGCCTCTAATTTTTAGTGAATCACTTTCAGAAATGTTTCTGTAATCCAACCTGTCTTCTATGTTTTCATTGTAGTAACTTGTTTAGTTCATGCCTTCAGCACCTCTTCTGTCTCTGTCTCTGAACTATGTAAAATAACCTTTTCCTTAATTTCTTTAATTCTGTTCCTTAGGATCAAGTCCAAATTTCACAGCTGCATTATAGGAACCATATGGGCTCTAACCTACCTTTATAGCTTTATGTTCTCCCATGCATCCTCATTTTGGACACACTCAATCTCTTACTGTTCTTGGTTATGCAAGGCTTCTTCAAAAACTTTGCCTTTGCATATATTCCTTCTGCTTGAAATGCTTGATTCTCCCCATTTCTCTTTCCTGCTTTTCCTTTAAGATAGGATACCCATGAAGCTTTCAGAAGTCCCTAAGGCACAATTAGTTGCCATATCTTCACTGCTCTCACAAGACTTAAAGCATGTATTTTAGTGTACTTTACTGCTTACAATAAAATTTGCCAATTCATTAGTCTGTCTCTTCAGTAACAGGGATGGCAGACAGATGCCAGCCTCTCCTTCTCTTCTGTTTACTTCATAAGCTAATTGGTCACAATATTGTCTCTGGTTAGACATGGATATATCCTCTGAATTTAACAGAATAACATACTGGGTACTCACTATCTAATGTTAAACTGAAGTTGGCACCCTGCTTTAGGCTGATTTTTGTGTGTGTGTGATGTATACATCCAGAATAGGTTATAATATCAGTATTTTAATATTCCTATAAGATAATATCAAGATATCAATACTGTTACATTGTTAAAAAGTTTATAATTCACTTTCTAAAAGTAAAACTAGCACATATATTTCAAATATGAAATATATTTGCATGTATTCTATGTATTTATAAAATATGTATAAAAATGTTAATGTTTTAAAATACATTTGCAATAAAACTACTTAAAAATAAAGTATACATGAATTTTAGTATTTCAAAAGAACTAATTATACTGGAGTACTAAAAACTGATATTGTAGTCATAATTCAAGTCCTGACCCTTGTGGTCATAGCTCTTAAGGCAGTGCCTTCAGTAAGAAGCCAGACCCCAATAAATATTTGAGATGTGCTTACTGGAGCCTAATATCATATTCCATTAAAAATAAGACACTTCAATGCTGGTTATTTCTTGATCTAGCCAGAAACTGTAATTTAGAAGACTTTTTTTTTTTTTTTTACCCAAATAATTCATGATTATTTCCTGATGGTAATTATGTTTCAGAAAGGTTAAAACACTGCGGGGGCTAGGGAGACAGGAAAGGTTGTGGCATCTTAGAATCAATGAGATAGGGTAAACTTTGTCTTTGTTTATTCCAAAATTGTTTAAGATATTATTTCTCAAATATGTGGTCATTTTGCTCTAATCTTGATGTGGAATTAAGGGAAAGTATTCTTTGTACATAATTTTCAGAATGGGTTTTGTTAGCCTGTTAATCAGTGAGCCTGAATTTAGTTGCTAGATTAAGTGTCTCCTGTTGTTTTAAGAGAGTGAGTTATCAGTGTCTGTTTTCTTTTCTCCTTCCTTTAAGATGCCATGGCTAGTCCAGGGAAAGATAACTATAGAATGAAAAGTTACAAGAATAAAGCCCTAAATCCTCAAGAGATGCGTAGACGAAGAGAAGAAGAGGGAATACAGCTTAGAAAACAAAAAAGGGAAGAACAGGTAGGTGTTTTTAGCTATTTAATTTTGTTTTTTAAAAGTTTAATTATTTGCTAATTATTGGATAATTTAAAATGGAAATGTTTTAAGAAATTGAATATAGCTAACTCTATTATTTATTAGACTCCAGGCATCATAATTGTAAATTTGTGAAACAGAACTCTGTGCTACTTTTAGTCCTGGGAGAAATGGATTTTCTGTTTTATTGATAAACCTGCTGTGTTAATTATATTTTTACCTCACTGCTAATACATTTTTCCCCTTGCGTCTATTTAGATCACTTCCATTTGTCATTATAAAATTTGCCCCCTAAAGAAACGTTATATATTATTTGCTGCTTTGTAGTTTTCACAGTTCTTGCCCATAAGTAAATTATTGTCATCTTCCCATGCTACTCATACTGTTCCCCCATTGTCTTATTAGCCGGATCTCTGCTTATACTTTGCGTATGTGACATAAAGAATGTAAAATCATTTAAGAGAGTATATCTCAACATTTTTTATTCCAAGGTGTACTTAAATGTAGAAGTATTTATAAATAAGTAAAAGAATGTGGTTCTCACACATATGAGTTAAAACTGATGTGTGAAAAGGACTAGCAGTGAAGAAAGTAGAAAAGGCCTATTCTATTCTGTAAGTAGAGATGGGGTCCTGCTATGTTGCCCAGACTGGTATTGAACTCCTCGCCTCAAGCAACATTCCTGCCTGTGCCTCTCAAAGTGCTAGGATTACAGGCATGTAATAGGCAAGACCTATTTCAGAAATATGATTGTGATTTCTCATCTCCCTATCTACAGCATCTAACACAGTCCTTCATGCATTATAGTAGGTACTAAAAAAATCATGTTGAATAAATGATTAGAAGGAGGATTGTTTACATATTAAATAGGAACAGGCTGGGAGCGCTGACTTACCCCTGCAATCTCAGCACCTTGGGAGGCTGAGGCAGGCAGATCACGAGGTCAGGAGATGAGACCGTCCTGGCTAACATGGTGAAACCCCGTCTCTACTAAAAATACAAAAAAATTAGCCAGACATGGTGGCGGGCACCTGTAGTCCCAGCTATTCGGGAGGCTGAGGCAGGAGATTGGCGTGAATCCGGGAGGCAGAGCTTGCAGTGAGCTGAGATCATGCCACTGCATTCCAGCCTGGGTGACAGAGTGAGACTCCATCTCAAAAAAAAAAAAAAACCCTGATATTTATTTAGCTATCAAAAATAATATAATCAGATTTTGTTTTCCTCAAATTTTGATTTAGGAAATGTGGAGTCATTCCTTGGTTCCAGGATCCTCTGCGGATATCAAAATTCACTGATGCTCAGGTCCTTTATGTAAAGTGGCATGGTATTTGCATATTACCTGCACACATCCTCTTGTATATTTTAAGTCATCTCCAGATTACTTATAACATCTAATACGGTGTAAATGCTGTGTAGTTGAGTTGTTATACTGTATTGTTTAAAAATACGTATTATTGTCGGGCTCAGTGGTTTATGCCTGTGATCCCAGCACTTTGGGAGGCCTAGGTGGGCGGGTCACCTGAGGTCAGGAGTTTGAGACCAGCTTGACCAACATGGTGAAACCCTGTCTCTACTAAAAATACAAAAATTAGCCAGGCATGGTGAGCGCACGCCTGTAATCCCGGCTACTCAGGTGGTTGAGGCAGGAGGATTGCTTGAACCCAGGAGGTGGAGGTTGTAGTGAGCTGAGATTGTGCCACTGCACTGGCAACAGAGCGAGACTCCATCTCAAAAAATAAAATAAAAATAAAGTAAAATAAAATATGTATTTTTTTATTTTCGTATTTTTTTTGCTGTTGATTTTTAAGAGATGGGGACTTGCTGTGTTGCCCAGGTTGCCCTCCAATTCCTGGGCTTGTTCAGTCCTCCCACCTCAGCTTCTCAAGTAACTGAGACCAGACACATGTGCTGCCATGTTTGGCTTATTATTTTTTATTCTTCTTATTATTTTTGATCCGAGGTTGGTTGAATCTGGAAACGTGGAACTCACAGATATGGAGGGTCAACCGTACCTATAAATCTCCCTTAGTGAACTCACCATGTTTCTTTCTTCTTTTTTTCTGCTTCATTTTTATCTGCTCCTGAATTAATAAGCATAGGACTGTTATTCCTAAGAATTGTTTTCTATTCCGTGTTAATCAGATATACTAAATCAGTTAATGTATCAGATGTTATCTTTCCTGTGTAACAGATGTGCTTTTTAAGTTTTCTTGCAAAAATTCTTAGATACCTCATAATCCAGTGTGGAAATATGTGCTTTTTAAAGTGCTATAGAATGACTATGTGTATTCCATTTACAAGCTTACTGTTGGTAAAAGATCTGAGATTTAAGTGATGTGAAGTAGTCTGTGCAGCCAAAAGCTAGCCCGGAAATTCTGACTTCTCATAAATACCTTACTTCCTAGTATAATGATTGGGAAATACTCAAATATTCAGAATTTTAAGTTATAAAATTGATAGGGTTTTTTGGTCCACTCAAATGAAAATATGGAATTCTATGGCAATTGAATGTTTTATGGAAAGCTCAATGTGTAAACTGATTTCTCTTTATTACAGTTGTTCAAACGCAGAAATGTCTCTTTGCCCAGAAATGATGAATCTATGCTTGAAAGTCCTATACAGGATCCAGATATTAGTTCCACTGTACCCATTCCAGAGGTATATTTTACAAAAATATATTTCAAATTATATCTCAATAATTTTAGCAATAGTATATATAATAAATATTTATGCACGCAAAATTATTCATGTAAAATGTTTAAATGGTAATTATATTTTTGTGTGTGTGTTTTAGGAAGAAGTTGTTACTACAGATATGGTTCAGATGATTTTTTCTAATAATGCTGATCAACAGCTAACAGCAACACAGAAATTTAGAAAGCTGCTTTCTAAAGGCAAGAATTATTTTCAGTATGCTTATTTGATATTACAGGATTTTGTAGTAGAGGTTTATTTTATTGTTTTTTTTTTTTAATTTTAAAATACCTTTCTTTGCTAGACACAGGTGTTATATTCTCTGTAAAATATATTGTAAAGTAACATCCATTTTTGAATATGATGTTACCAAAGTAACATATGTTGACTCTAGAAAAACTGTAAAAATATAAAAGCAGTTAAAGAGGCAAATATAAAGAGACTAATCCTGCTGCCAAGCAATAAGGTTAGAGATATATATTTTTTAATTCGTGTAGAAATATTTTTCAGACATGATTTTTTAAATGGTACCATAGCATAGAGTATGAACATAAAATGATGTAATCAGGCATTTAAATTTTTCTCAATTTTAGATTACCATAAACATGCTACAATAATTGTTAAGCAATATAAATTTCCTTAATATTCATTCATAAAAGTGAAGTAGGGGGTCAAAGGGAATAAACTGTATTAATTTACACTCCCATCTTCAGTTTGTACAAGCATTCATTTCGCTATTTTTACCAACATTCACAATTCTCTTTTTCTTTTTTTTTTGAGACAACATCTCACTCCCATCACCCAGACTGGAGTGCAGTAGCGGAATCACAGCTCACTACAGCCTCTACTTTCCAGGCTCAGGTGATTCTCCCACGTCAGCTTCCTGAGTAGCTGGGATGACAGGCATACATCACCACGCGCAGCTAATTTTTTGTATTTTTAGTAGAGTCAGGGTTTTGTCATACTGCCCAGGCTGGTCTCAATTTCCTGGGCTCAAGTTATCCTCCCACCTTGGCCTGCCAAAATTCTGTGATTACAGGTGTGAGCCACCATGCCTGGCCTCACAGTTGTCTTTAAGAAAAAAATGCTTATATAATAGTAATTCATTATTTGGCTTTTTTTTTTTTTTTTGTCATTAGGTGGAATATTTTGCCTTATTTATTGGTTCTTTATAATACATAATTGCCTTTTTATGTTATTTGACCAATTTTATATTGAGTTAATAAGAATTCATTTAAGTAAAAATTTAAATCTTTGTCTTGTGTTTCATATATGGAATTTATTGAACTAGTAGTTCTAATTTTATGGGATTTTATATATGAACTGATAAGGTTTTGAAAATGCCCTTAGTTCAACTGCCTTATCATCCTAAGAGAGACAGAGGTTAGTGACACATGAAGAATGAAAGAAATCTTGTGATCAGGTTAGCATAGATTATAAGACTTTCACTTTTGCTTTTTTACTGTAATTTATGTTCATAAATAAATTTAACTTTCAATTTCTGTTCCTCACATACCTTAGCAATGTCAAGAAACCCTTATGCAATCAAGAATGGCTTCTCTCTTCCTCACAATACTTCACAGTTTTGGTTTTTATAATTGGGATTATTTTCTGAGTCAGATTAATATTGTTAAATTGTTTTTTAATTATATTTCGTCAAGATTTTATTTTGACATGTCATACTGTTAACATAATTTATTTAGATTTATTTAAGGGTTTTAGAGTTTGCCGCCGGTGTTCTTGTAACATTTCCTTATTATTGAATTCTTTATCTTGATTAAATTTTTATTAAAGCATTACTTGAAGGATTTTCTACCCCTTTCTTACCCCCATTCTAGGAAAATTGCATTGGTACAATTTTTTTAAGCCTTTACATGTCTAAATACTATATTTCTGATGTCTTTGAGCAAGTTGTCTGGGTATCGAATTCCTTGATCAGAAGATTTTGTCCTCATTTACTCTAATTCCTAAAGGTATTCTGTTTCCATTAAACTGTACTATCTTTCACAGAGACAATTGTGTTCTCTGTTTCTTCTTTGTAATGGAATTATGCTTGCCTAGTTGGACATACAGCAAGGAGTTAATAGACGTTTTCTTTCACTGATTGATGTGGGTTCCTGCCAAATCTATCAGCCCTAGAAAAATAATAGATTTACTGTATTTTTATTTGATCTGTCAAAGTAGGAAATATGAGAAAGCAAGCATCTAGAGCCCAGAACTGGAAGCAGAAACCACAGGAAACTTTGCCTCTTTTGCAAGCATTTCTTTATTATAATTAGTGTTCTTACTGTAGACACTAGGAAGATATGAATATGCCCTGGGTACTGCACAGCCTGTCTTAGCTCTAGCTTTTACTCCTCTGACTTAAGTCTGTGACGGTGACCTTTTGTTACATCGTCTACTTATTTCCTTGTCATGGCCACCCTTGTGGATGTAAATCACAAACCATCCTTTTCTTCAATCCCAGTTTTGTAGAAAGTTCTCCAAAGCTTTTTTCTTTTGCTTGACTCTTGCTTAGTTTTCAGTTTTGAAGGAGATGTTCCCCATATACTACTTATTGCCATAATGACTAAAAGTCTTCTCGGTAGCAGTTTATCACCATTATAAGATTATATAGACTATCATCCTGTCAATATAATACTAATAGTAGTTCATGATACCTGTTAGATTAGCTGACATTCCAAGTGCACTTTAATTGCTTTCTTTTAGATGAAGATAAATACAAATGTGTTGCTTTTAATTCACCAGGAAGAAACTATATTTGGGTTCTTATGTGTATGTGTGGGTATATCTCATATCTATATTTACTTTTATATATATAGCTGACAGTCTCAATGCCCACCTCGCCCTACCCGCCAACCACAAAACCCTGTGTTTTCTTCCTTCTCTGTCATCTCTTTCTTTCATAAAGAGCAAGACAAAATTTCTGTCCATTAAATTTAAAACAAAATAGGATAATATATTTATGATTTTCTTTGGAAATAAAGAAAAAACAAGAAAGTGAAGGTGGTAATTGCAATCCTATAATTTTGTTTTGATTTTTTTAAGGTGGAAGGTAGAATGATTAAGAATACTTACTGTTTTATCCTGTCGATGTTTTATAACAGTATAAGTTAGGATCTGGAATTCATTTTTCCATTTTGAAGAATTGGGGCTTTTCATTTAGAACACCCAAACAAAACTTGATGGGTGTAACTTTACTAACTTTGCAGAAATTTTCTAAATTTTGCCCAAGTTAGAAGAATAGCAAATTTGTAGAACAATGAAAAGGAAGAAGGAAGTCTGTTTCTAAGTAAGTCTTTCTTAACAATTGAGATCTAGGTTTCTAGGATTTGAGCTGACTTAAAACTTAATGAAAATATTTTTCTGTATCAAAAAGAACGATTTGTACAGATGTTTTATATCCACCATTTGCTTATTCATCCTACTCATTAAACGCAGTATGTTAACATTAATATATGAGTTCTATATGATCAGTAACACAGTCAAATAGAGGAAGTAAGAAGAAAAGGAAGAATCAGAAGTGGAAATGAGTATTCTCTTTTGCATGACTACATGAATACATAACTCAGTAATATGCAATTTGGCTGGTGGATGCAGGGCAAGGGAAGGAATAACCATGATGATATAATGAGTTTGATTTTGGGTATGCTGCATTTTGAAAGAAGGTGTGAAAATTCATTTTAAAAGTTGTGAAAATAAAAATACATCTTATAGTCACTTAGGAATATGGTCTGAAATCTAGGAAAGGAGAATTCAGCTAAGAACAACAAAGCTAAGGTTGTTAGGTTTGTGAATTATCACAAATAGTAATAATATCTGGTACTTGAATTAACAAAATAGGTACATTTTCTAAGATGAGAATAAACAGGAATAAGACTATCCCAAAGGGGCACCAATAGGGAAGTTACGGAAGAACCACAGAGGGTACGTTTTGCTGAAGCCAAGGTAGAAGAGAGAGTTCTTTATACTTAGATGACCAGTACCTGAAATGTCTTTGTCTGGATTTTATATAAGCTTCCTAGATATTTTATGATTCTCAAAAACTGTCTGCATTTCATGAAAATTATCAATAATTGTAGACAGTCCATTAGCATTTCTGTAAAAAATAATTCCCGGACAAAAAAGAATCTCGTTTGACAGACATTAGGTAAATTGTGATTGATAATGAAGGAGATATGCTTAGAAATTGAGGGTAGTACTGTAAAGAATTAGTGGAAACTTTATTCCTCAGTTGGTATTTTGAGTTTTGGACAGAAATAATCAGTGTTTTGAAGGTGTCCTCAATAGCCTTCAATTTATAAAATGTAAATGTTTATGTAGGAAATATTTTTAAAATTTCTTGCAGTGAATGAGAAAGCGGAATTTGCAAAATGTACAAAAAAGTTATACTCTGGAGAAAATTTGACTTCAATTACATCTAGCTAAGGGTTTTAATCTTGGGTCAGGGAAGCCTAGGAAAGAGTTATTTTATGTGCCCTGTTAATGGACACAGAGACCAGATTGTTTTCTTTTTGTGTATTTGTAATAACTTAAGTCTTTTTAAATTTTTAGAACCTAATCCACCAATAGATCAAGTTATACAGAAACCAGGAGTTGTACAGAGATTTGTGAAATTTCTTGAAAGAAATGAAAATTGCACTTTACAAGTGAGTCTAAAGTTTTCTTTCTTAATTTTTCTCTAGAAATGACATGTTACAGTTTCTAGTGGAAGCAACTTCTGCAGTATTGACTCTATTGTAAGCATTAAGTAAATACTTGGTAATTAAAAGAAAAGGTAGTGCCACCTGTCTTGCCTTGGACATGGTTGCAGTGCTAGTTTTTTCTAGAATTGTTATTTTATTAAGCAATTTTGGAAAAAGTATATAAAATCATTACTACTGTTAATAAACAATTTATAGTTGTTAACCTTTAATAACTTTTTTGTTTTAGAAAACTTTGGACTAAAATGTTGTTAAATTTATTTTGATTCTTAGCTAGCCGGCGTTCTAACTTTTACCTCTTAAAACACTTTTAGCTGATTGATTAGTTCTTTTTTTCAAAACAGAATAAATTAGTATTTAGTGTTATCTAGTAGAAATGTGATCAGAGTTAAGTTTGTCATAAAGAACATGGGTTCTCAACCATGATATAGTTACAATTTTAAGATGTCTTCCAAATAATTTGCTACTAATGGTAATTTACTGAAGTTTGTGAATATTTTAATGTTAAAAAAAGATTGGTTTTCCCGACATTCATTGCTATCTATTTTCTTAAGTCAGAGTACAGGTTGGAATTTTATCTATGTATCAGGAATTGCACAAGACATACACCTAACTTATAAATGCTATTGTCAATAATGGAGGACTGTTACTTCAGTAACAATTATTGAATTTAAGACTTAAGAGTAGTGGTCTACCTAGCTGAATAATTTGGGAAAGATCCTCACATTTTAGGTATAAGCAAAGGAATGTATTGCATGTGTGAATGTGAAAAATTGTTGAGAATGTTTACAATAAGAGTCTCTAAGAGGCTACTTTAGTCGTGTTACAGTTTTATTGTCAATTATTTTGAACTAGAGATCATGAAATCTGGTTCCATGGCTTTATACAAACCCTAAGTCCAGACTAAAACCCAGACCTCTTGATACCTATTATTTGGCTTTTTAATTCCAATTGAATGAAAGAAGAAATGATTGAATGTGAATAAGTAAAGTTATTGAGAATAAAGAATAAGTAAAGTTTGAGCCACGCATCATGTAATATATTGTAGTTCCAAAATTCAGATGTCCTGTCCAGAGAAATTCCTCACTTTCTCCTGGGAAAGACAGACATAAAAAAGATCTGTGGTAACGTCATGTCCTTAGTGCTCTAACAGAGCTATAAACAAAGTACTCCAGGGATACAGAACATAGCAACTTACTCTGTTTGGGGAAGTTTAAGTTTAAGACTTCACAAAGGTAGTGTTGCAGGACTAGTCTTGAGGATGAGGGAGCCTTTGGCAGACTGAAAAGAGGAAAATTAATACTAGGTTTAGAGGATAGCAAGTGTAGACAGCACAGTGTGGGAAGATTTGCTGGGCATGGTGGTTCACACCTGTAATCCCAGCACTTTGGGAACGTGAAGAGGGAGGATCTCTTGAACCCAGGAGTTTGAGACCAGCCTGGGAAAATAGTGAGACCTCATCTCTACAAAAAAAATAAAAGTTAGTTGAGTGTGGTGGCATGCACCTGTAGTCTCATCTACTTGGGAGACTGAAGTGAGAGTATAACTTGAGCCCAGACGTTTGAGGTTACAGTGAGCTGTGATCACACCACTGCACTCCAGCCTGGGCCCTGTCTCTAAATAAACGAACAAACAAACACACACACACACTGAGAAGTTAAACATTTATTAATCACTGTAATTAAGAACTATAGAAATTCAACAGTGTGGTCTTGGGACAGCTACATGTTGTGCCATGTTACCCAAGCACATGTGAAGCATGTTAGTTCATATGATTGGTCCACCTAACAGATCTCACACTGGGGGCCTACAAACAAGTTTTGTTGGCCTGCGCATGTTTTAAAACGTGAATTAGATATTAAACATTAAAAAATTGGGGGATTTCAAATGAATATCCAGGTTTTTGGCTCCTTTTGACAAATCAGAGGTGTTGCCATTGTTGTCAGATAGTTAAAATGAAAGGAGGCTGAATAGGCATTCTGTCTCTATTTTCTTTTTTTAACTGGAAAGTTTTTAAACTTTTTCTTTTTTTAAACTTTTTTTAACTGAAAAGTTTTAAACCTTTTTTTTAAAAAATTGTAGCCATACGCTCTAGGTTTTCACAGTTGTCACTTGCTTATCACTCGTTTTATGTTTAATTGGTTGCTGGTAGGCTTCTGACTTTACCAGTCTCCACTAAGGCTTTCTGGGGGATACTAGGGGCAAGTTTGTAGAGTAACCTTTTAGTTGTCTACTAGTTTATTTCATCATCTACAATTGGTTAGAACTATGGTCTCCATTATTTTTAAATATAAATTCCCTTTAAAATTTGTTCTTAGTCCTAAACGTAAAAGTAACTGTACTTTTTAGTATTTCAGTAATGCCTTTGGGTACATTTTTTGTTACTTATAATGACATCTACATTTATGTGAAAAGTTATTTATGTGAAATATTAAAAAAATTTTTTTCATGGTTAATTTTATTTGTCAAATATGTGAAATATTTTTTAAGCTATAGTCGCTGCTTAGTTTGCCTTTGGATTTGTGGGTTGCTTTCAGTAATTCACTAGTTCATTGTTTTGGAGCCATGGTTGAATTTTCTCAGTTGCTTTTATTTTAAATCCGTAATGTATATATATATTCAGATTTTAATTGAGTTGTTATGAGTAACTTCTCAGAGACTCTGCAGCTTAAAAAAATACTAGAAGTCCCAGCACTGGCTCTGTTAATAATGAAAGCTTGATGTTGGACAGATACCTAAATCTCTCAACTTCTAATTTTTTTGTTTCTTAAATAAGTAGAAAGTTACATGATCTGTAGAGAAATAAGTACCTCTTATGATTCTAAGTGTCCTGAACATACTGTTGTTACAAGTAGTGTCTCGTATTTGTTTTTAAACTGCTTGCTTTAGAATGCTTGGCTCTGTAATAATAAAGAGGAGTTTTATGAATTATAAATTCAAAGGTGTTTATATATTGTTGATTTTGTATATTTTCATTACATTTTTATCAGTTATTTTCCCATATTAAAGAATACTTTTCTGTAATGAGTGATCTTTGATGACAATTACTTTTTTTCCTAAGAGTTTTTAATCCTTAAATCTGACTTCACGGTGAACCTTATTAAGTCAGTCTTTCACAGTTGTCCTAGCAGGTCTTTACTCCCTCTCTTTCCTTCTTTGCCTTTCTGGCATTTCTTTGGTTCTTTCCTTTATTTTATCTTTTTTTCTTCTTAGTTTGAAGCTGCATGGGCATTAACTAATATAGCATCTGGAACTTTTCTGCATACCAAGGTAGTGATTGAAACTGGGGCTGTTCCAATTTTTATCAAACTTCTTAATTCTGAACATGAAGATGTTCAAGAGCAGGTATGTTTCTAATTTGTATTGTTATATGTACTAGAATTCAGTTTTCTCTTGAAAGTACCGTTTGTAATTACAATGTATAATTCATTTTTGTTTCTAATTGCTGTATATTGCATTAAATTACAGTAGTGCTTTTGGTGTTAAGTTAGAAGGGAGGAAGAATGAACAGTTCCAGACATAATCCTGGGTTCTCTATAAATGTGATTGCAGCTAGCATAGGAATTACTATTCCTGTTTATAAAAGTGCATACTGAGGCTGGGCATGGTGGCTCATGTCTATATTCTCAGCACTTGGGAAAGCTGAGGTGATCAGATCACTTGAGGCCCGGAGTTCGAGGCCAGCCTGGCCAACATGGCAAAATCCCAGCTCTGCTAAAAATACAAAAATTAGCCAGACATGGTGCCACAGCTCCTCAGGAAGCTGAGGCACAAGAATTCCTTGAGCTTTTGGAGGCAGAGGTTGCAGAGAGCTGAGATCATGCCACTGTACTTCAGCCTGGGTGACAGAGCAAGATTTGTCTCAAAAAAAAAGTGCGTACTGAGACTCAAAAGTTAGTAACTTACTTAAAGTCACAATGAATGGCAGAGCTGGGTTTTAAAGCTGGACTGGTTTGACTTCTTGTTCTCTGCGTATATGTAGATTATTTTGTTGCTTGTTTTAAGAGTATCCCGTTACTTTGAATAGAACCATTTTTTAATAAATTTAATAAAGTTTTGTTGTAAGAGGGAAAATTTAATTACATATAATTGTATCATCTGAATAAAATCAAGTCATTTGACATTTTTGTTTTGCGTCATTTTTATGTATATGAATCTGTTGATCTCTCTACCATTTTATTCATTTCCTTTTATATATATATATTTTCAGTTAACACTAACATTGGGAGCCTTTTCTTATGGCAGTAATTATTCTTCCAAGGAAATTTTACTGATTACTCAATATCTGCTCAGACATGTACCATAATTTGTTATCTATTCCTCAATTGTTGTATACTTGGATTATTTCTAGCTTATTGGTGTTGTTAATAATATGAATATCATTATATGTCATCACTCTTTATGTGCCTTTTGATTATTTTACTAGGAAAAATGACTACCCTGTCAAAAGAAAAATTTTCTTTCTTTTTTTTTTTTTTTGAGACGAAGTCTTGCTCTTGTCCCTCAGGCTGAAGTGCAATGGCACGATCTCGGCTCACTGCAACCTCCGCTCCCCAGATTCAAGCAATTTTCCTGCCTCAGGCCTCCCGAATAGCTGGGATTACAGGCGCCTGCCGCCACGCCCAGCTAATTTTTGTATTTCTAGTAGAGATGGGGTTTCTCCATGTTGGCCAGGCTGGTCTCGAACTCCTGACCTCAGGTGATCCGTCTGCTTATGCCTCCCAAAGTGCTGGGATTACAGTCGTGAGCCGCTGTGCCCGGCCAAAAGATAAAATTTTTAAAGCTCTTACTATGTATTTCAAAGTCAGACTCCAAGAATGTTATACCAATTAAGTTCTCCACCAACAGAATATTATGCTCCACAAGGTAGAAAATGTCTTTAGTTTAAAGGTTTTTCTTAAAAACAGACAGAAAAATCTTAGGTCTAGAGTAGATGTTAAAAATACTAATTTATATTTAAACATTGAAATAAAACTTCCCCAATTGAAAAGTAGCATGTCTACTTTTGTACTAACACGAAAAGTTTATGGTGTTAGTACAAAAGTAAATGATAAAATAATATGATAATTTGCATTTGCATAATTTCTTACCTAATTGAAATTTAGTAAATCAGTATGTGTTCTGAGAAACACATTTTCATCATTGTGCATATTCCATGGAGTCTATTTACACAGACCTAGATGGTTTATAGCATGGCCTTTTGCATCCAGTCTACAAACCTATACAGCATGTTACTGTACTAAAAATGCTGTAGGCAGTTTTTCTTTTTTTTGAGACAGAGTCTTGCCGTGTCACTCAGGCTGCAGTGCAGTGACATGATCTGCACTGCAACCACCACCTCCTGGGTTTCAAGCAATTCTTACGCTTCAGTCTCCTGAGTAGCTGGGATTACAGGCACCTGCAATCACACCCAGCTAGTTTTTGTGTTTTTAGTAGAGACGGGGTTTCACCATGTTGGCCAGGCTGGTCGCAAACTCTTGACCTCAAGTGATCTGCCCACCTCACTTCCCAAAGTGCTGGGATTACGGGCATGAGCCACTGCACCCGGCCTACTATAGACTATAGTGGTAAGTATTTGTGTATCTAAAAATACAAAAGGTACAGTAAAGATATGGTGTTACAATATTTTGAGACTACCATCTTATATGCAGTCTGTTATTGACTAAAATGTTATGCAGTGCATGATTATAATTGGAAAATGTGCTAGATAGATATATTTTGTCTTTCTGTGTAAATTCAGAGTAAACTATGCTCTTTGTTGAACAGTATAGATATTTCACTAGTACGCAAGGAAAACTGTTTTTTTGGAGACAGAGTTTCACTCTGTTGCCCAAGGTGGAGCATGGCTCATTGCAACCTCTGCCTCCTGGGCTCAAGTGATCCTCACACCTTAGCCTCCCAAGTAGCTGAGATGACAGGTGCATGCCACCACACTCAGCTAATTTTTGTCATTTTTTTGGTAGAGACAGGCTTTTACCATGTTGCCCAGGCTGGTTTTGAACTCCTGGTCTCAAGCGATCTGCCCACCTCAGTTTCCCAAAGTGCTGGAATTACACATGTGAGCCACCCTGCTCAGCTGGAAAACTTTTTAAATGTCCTATCTTTCAATTTGAATAAAAATATTAAATTGCATTTTGAAAGTTTTTCTTCTCTACTTTTTTTTTTAACATGTCACAAACTGTTGCTTTATTCATTCTGTACTAAAATCTCATTCCTGAAGGAAAGCCTCTAATTTAAAATATTGTTTTAAGATAATTTTTTTTTTTCCTAAGGCTGTTTGGGCACTTGGCAATATTGCTGGTGACAATGCAGAATGCAGAGATTTTGTTTTGAATTGTGAAATACTTCCACCTCTTTTAGAGTAAGTACTTTATCACAATTAAGTATGTAGCAAAAACTATATACTCCACTGTATTCTACATATGTAATTAAGTTCTTCAGTCATACTTTTAAATTTGTCTTATGGTTATCAGGCCTACAGTAGCTTGAAAGTAGGTAGAACCAAGAGAAATTTTCAAATTGTTATCTGTGTCTTTTATGTTCTCTTAAACCACACTTAACAGTGGTCATTGCTCACTTGATGCTTACTGATATAAATATAAAATAATTATTCTGCAAAAACAAGGATATATGGTAGTTTATAATACAATAAAATTTACATATTGCTATAGCAGGGAATCCTTAATACTTGAACAGATAGTGTATTTAGGATGTCAGTATGTTTTAAATTTTATTAAAAGAACAAAGATTTTAAGATAGAGATTTTTCTTTCAGGATTAGAATTTTACTTAAAGTGATTTATCTAATAGTTTCTCCAACTACTTTATGTATTTTTTTAAAAAAGAAATTACCCTGTAATATAAGGTCCTTTATAGAAATGACATAAAAATTTTTGAAAGACAGGTTTATACATATTGTTTATGATTAAGAGGATCTTTATGTAGGATAAATGCCAATGGCAGGTAGTGAAGAAAAATACTAATCAAGGAGATGGTTAGAAGTAAGTATTTTTCTCTTCATTTCTGCGTGGAGGTACATTCTTCATCCTCTCCAGTTGAGGAATTGAATAGGAAGAATAAATTTCTAGACACTAGTTTTCATAAAACGTTTTACTCTAGCTTTCTGTGGACAAGTTATTTCTTGGCATGATTTCATTTAACCAATATTAATCGAAGATCTGTGTGCAAACCACTGAACCACTCACTATAATTTCATTTATTGTGGGCTTAAAGTTAATGGTCCATATTATTTTAGAATTTAGCTGAGCTATAAAAGAGAGTACTGATTTAGAGTTCAATATTAATCCTTTTGAAGTCTGCACTATTAAAAACATTTCTTACAGTTTCAATTTGATACTTGTCTCACCTGATTTATGTGGTGTATAAATTAACTGAGCAATTTTTGTTTTTGTTGTTCTGTCTCTATTTCATTTTATTATTTGTTAATATCTCAAGTAGGTAGTGGTTTATGAAGTAGTAAACATTTCTTAGGTCTAATCTCTTTAAATGTCCTAAGGTGCTTTTTAACCATGACTGCAGAAACCAAACTAAAAAATAAAATGAAGGAAGAATAACCAGTACCCAGCTATGTAGTAATAGTTACAAAAACAATTTCAGGCTGGCCGTGGTGGCTCATGCCTATAATCCCACCACTTTGGGAGGCCGAGGCGGGTGGATCCCCCGAGGTCAGGAGTTCAAGACCAGCCTGACCAACATGGAGAAAGACCCCGTCTCTACTGAAAATACAAAATTAGCCGGGTGTGGTGGTGCATGCCTGTAATCGAGAGGCTGAGGCAGGAGAATTGCTTGAACCCTGGAGGTGGAGGTTGCATTGAGCTGAGATCGTGCCATTGCACTCCAGCCTTGGCAACAAGAGTGAAACTCCATTTCAGATAATAATAATAATGTAATAATAATAATTTCCAAAAAGGGTATTAGAAAGTTGGAAAGTTTCAGAGTTTCATTATAAAACTTCATCTTAGTTGCAAAGTGTTAAAAAAAAATAAGAAAGATAGTTAAAAGGAAGTTAAGTTAGATACTCTCACTGGAGTTGGGCAAAAGGAAAAGTTTTCAGCTTAAAAAATGATTATGCATTATTTGTTGTTCACATTGTAATTCATATTTGGTAATGCTTAAATAAATGTAAAACAAATGTGTCATTTTATCTGTTCTGTTTGAGTGATATTTTAATTTATTTTATTAGTATTGATTTGATTCTCAGTAAGTCTTTTCCTACTATAAACTATTCCGATACAACTTTGCTGTAATTTAACTCAACTTTATAATGCAGCATATTTGTACTTTCTCATAATAACTCCATTAACACAAAAAAAGAACAATAATATACAACAGGGGTTGGCCAGCTTTATCTCTTAGGCCAAATCTGGCTTGCTTCACGTTTTTGTAAATTAAGTTTTATCGGAACACAGTCACACCTATTCACTTACTTAATGTCTTTGGTTGCTTTCATGCTACATCAGCATAGGTGAGTAATAGAAACAAGAAAGAGGGCCTGCAAACCCTAAAAATTTGTCAACTCTTAGCATACAAAATCAGTATAACTATTTTATTTCCAAATCTGTTTTATTTTGGAGAAATCTCACATCTGTTTTTTGGAAAGCCTTTAGAACAGAAACTTTTTTTTTAGTGTGGTAGAATACATGTAACCAGTTTAACCATTTTAAAGTGTACAATTTGGTGGCATTAAGTAGATTTGCAACATTGTACAACTATCACTACTGTCTAGTTCCCGAATTTTTTTTACCACCTTAAACAGAAACCCAGTACCCCCATTAGCAGTCACATCCTGTTTTGCCATCACCTTGTGCCTTGGAAACTACAAATCTGTTTTCTCTCTCTCTGGATTTGCGTATACTGTATATATCACATAAGTGGAATCATACAATATATTACCTTTGTGTCTGGCTTCTTTTACCTTACTGTTTTCAATGTTCCATCCATATTATAGTGCATGTATCAGTACTTCGTTCTTTTTGTGGCTGAATTATATTCCGTTTTATGCATGTGCCACATTTTATTCATTCATTAATAGATGAACACTTTGGTGTGTCCACCTTTTGACTACTATAAATAGTGCTCCTATGAACATTCATATACAGGGTTTTGTTTCAGTACTGGTTTTTAATTCTTGTGGGTGTATACGTAGAAGTGGAGTTTGCCAGGTAATATGATAATTCTATCTTTAATTTTTTAGAGACTACCAAACTTTTTCACAGCAGCTATACCATTTTACATTCTGCTAGCAATGTATGAGTGTTGTAATTTCTCTATATCATCACCAACACATATTATCTGTTACTCTTATTTAGATCTTCTTAGTGGGTGTAAGTTGACTTTTTCATTTCTATAAAAGGGTCATTGTCATTTTGATAGGGGCTTCATTTACTTTGTAGATCACTTTAAGCAGTATTGCCATCTTAATAATATTAAGGCTTCCAATTCATGAACTTGAGATATCTTTTGATTAATTAAGCTCTTTCATTTTGACAATATTTTGTAGATTTTAGTAAACAGGTTTTATACCTCTTTGGTTAAATGTATTCCAAAGTATTTTATTCTTTTTATTCAAATGTAAATAAAATTGTTTTCTTTATTTCTTTTTTGACTTGTTCCTTGGTAGTATATAGAAATACAACTGATTTTTGTGTGTTGATTATTTATTTATGTATTTATTTTATTTATTTTGAGACAGGGTCTTGCTCTGTCACCTAGGCTGGAGTGCAGTGGCGTAATCTTGGCTCACTGCAGCCTATGCCTCCCAGATTCAAGCGATTCTCGTGCCTCAGCTTCCCAAGTAGCTGGTATTACAGTCATGTACAACCACACCTGGCTAATTTTTGTATTTTTAGTAGAGATAGAGTTTCACCATGTTGGCCAGGCTGCTCTTGAACTCCTGGCCTTAAGTGATCCATCCCCCCTTGGCCTCCCAAAGCTCTGGGATTACAAGTGTGAGCCACCACACCCGGCCTGTGTACTGATCTTGTATCCTGCAACTTTGTTGAATTTATTAGCACTAATAGTTTTTTTGTGGATTGTTGTGAATTTCCATATATTAGATCATGTCATCTGTCAATAATGGTAGTTTCATTGCTGAGCATAGTGGCATATGCCTGTAGTCCCAGATACTTGGGAGGCTGAGTAGGGAGGGTCATTTGAGGTCAGGAGCCTCCTGGGTTCAAGTGGTTCTCATGCCTCAACCCTCCCAAGTAGCTGGGAATACAGGCGTGCACCACCATACCAGGCTGATTTTTGTATTTTTAGTAGAGATGGAGTTTCACCATGTTGGCCATGCTGGTCTTGAACTCGAATTTGAGGTCAGGGTCATTTGAGGCTGTAGTGCACTATGATCATGCTTGTGAATAGTCACTGCACTCTAGCCTGTGCAACATAGCAAGACCCCATCTCTAAATTTTTTTTTTTTTTTACAGATAGTTTCATTTCTTGCTTTCCAATTTGGCTGTGTTAATTCTTTTTGTTGCACAATTGCTTTGGATAGAGCTTCCATTACAGTGTTATTTAGAAGTGGCAAAAATGAGTGTCTTTGTCTTCTTATCTCGGAGTAAAAACTATAACTCTTTCACCATTCGGTGTGATGTGAGCTATGGTTTTCGATACATGCCCTTTATCCTGTTGAGGTAGTTTCCTTCTATTTCTGGATTTTTTTTTTTTTTTTGAGACGGAGTCATGCCCTGTTGCCAAGCTAGAGTACAGTGGCACGATCTTGGCTCACTGCAACCTCTGCCTCTTGGGTTCAATTCTCCTGCCTCAACCTCCCAGGTAGCTGGGACTACAAGCGTGCACCACCACGCCCAGCTAATTTTTGTATTTTTAGTAGAGACAGGGTTTCCCCATGTTGGCCAGGATGGTCGTGATTTCCTGACCTCGTGATCCACCTGCCTCGACCTCCCAAAGTGCTGGGATTACAGGTCCAACCTGTTTAGTGTTTTTATCATAAAAGGATATTGAGCCCTTTTAAATGCTTTTTGCATCCAGTTGAAATGATAACTTGTTTTTTAAATTCATTATATTAATATGGTTTATTATTTTGATTGATATTTGTATATTGAACCTTCCTTGCATTCATTGGTTAAATGCCATGTGGTCATAGTATATGCTGCTAAATTCAGTTTCCTAGAATTTTGTTGAGGATTTTTGTATGTATATTCCAAAGAAATATTTTTTCTTTTGTAACTTTTGGTTTGACGTCTTTGGCTTTGGTATCAGGGTAATGCTATCCTCATAGAATTGATGAGGAAGTGTTCTCTTATTTTTTAAAGAAAAATTTTGCAGTTACATAGTAGGTGTGTGTATTTATGGGGTACATGAGATGTTTTGATATAGG